GTGCGTGTGTGTGTGTGTGCGTGTGTGTGTGTGTGTGTGTGTGTGTGTGTGTGTGTAGCATCAGTTTCACAGAGTTTTGACTGTTCGGCAGGATTCACGCTCTTGCCTTCCACCCTGACCCTCACTAGGTGTTACCTGCCTTTTAGATCTTTGAGGCTTACCTGCCTGTTACGTTAAAACTGAGTTAAAGGCAAAATAAAAAAATAAGAATAGAAGAGACTAGAATAAAACTTGGTGGAATTCATGGTTTTCGTGTTACACGGACCTTAAAAGGTGACGCACAGGCCGGCGCTTCGGCTGTAGAAGCACCAAACACAAGTCACAGTGATGTGTTTGAGGGCAGCCGGTAAGAAGAGAAAGACGTTGCTGCTGAGATTGTTTGTTTACCTGTTTGCCTTAGTTCAGCTATCAGCTCAGGTGTGTGCTGGTGTGGTTCACTAACACTTATCTGACTAAAACGACGTGTATCATAATGTGGAACATTGATTATTAGTGATAAGTTATTGTGAGTGTAAATGCTTCCTTGTGGATTGCTGCTGAGGGATTTGTGATCATTCAACACGGGAATAAATAAAAAAGGAGGAGATTAAAAGGAACAAACATCCGGAAGATTGTTGCAAGGAGTCGTAATTATCATTAAAATCCATGATGCTAATGTTCTTTGATCCTTTTTGGATAAACAGTTAAGATTATGGGATGATGTATTTGGGACAAAGCTGTTTAAAGTGGAACACGTGATACTGATGATTTGGGTTTTAGTAGATTCTAGTTGACCTTTAACCTCGTTTAGGCAGTCTTATGGGTTGTTTGTTCACGGTGTTTATAAAGTGGGAGAGCAGTAGCTGAGGTTGAGCGGGTTGTCCAGCAATCGGAAGATTGCGGGTTCGATTCTGGCTCCCGCCAGAGACTGCTGTTGTGTCCTTGGGCAAGACATTTAACCCACCCTGCCTGCTGGTGGCGCGTGTGCCTGGAAAGCCTCGCCTCTGCCAGTGCACCCCAGGGCAGCTGTGGCTACATCGTAGCTCATCACCACCAGGGTGTGAACGTGTGTGTGAATGGATGAATGACACACTAGTGTGAAGGACTTTGGATGTCATGGCTCTGCTTTTTCTCTGCTGCTGTGCTCTTACGTGTTTGCAGGTGAGCAGGTGGGAGAGCCACAGCTGCAGCCAGGCCAGAGGAAATAAGGAGCGGTGTTGCCACACTTCAGCGCCGGTAGATACTCTATTGCTGGGTACTCTAGCTCTCCTCGTTCCTGTTTGGATCTAGCCTCGTGGTTTCCTCCCCTGTGCTCAGTTTTTATTCTCCTTGTCTGCTCCAGTACCAGCCCTGGATTCTTGCCTCAGCTCCCTGCTGTCTGGAGTGGATTTATTACCCAACGCCGCTCAACTCCTCTGGTCTCCCGCTCTCCACCTCTCACCCGTCCTGGATTACTCCACTGCCTGCTACTCCTCTCCACCAGACCATCTCCAGCTCAGACCCCCACTTCACACAGTAAGACTCCGCCACCATTACTCCAGTGTTTTCTTGGTTCTCAGTATTCACTTTGCTATCTTCTGTTGTAGAATTAGACCCCCCCCCCCCCCACACACACACACACACACACCCGGCCCAGCTTGGATCAGCGCTTTTCATTATTATTTTCTTTATAATAAAACCTTTATATTTTTACTCGCCTCTCTCTGCGTGTGATTCTTTCATGCGGGTTAAACGACTGCAGCCATCATGACACTGGAGTCCTCTGACTCGGAAAGGCGCTACACAAGTGCGGGTCATTTATCATTTATCATAATTTACTGACTGCATTTAAAAATTCACTGAATACAAGCACGTATTCTGGGTATTTCGGGCTGTTTATTTTGTATTTATGTGCATTTCTTTTCTCTGGGGTTACTTAAAGGTTTTTTTTACCTGCATTGGGACGACCTGTAATCCAATAAATCTTTCCTGACTGAAACGGAAGATAAACGGAAGATAAAGACGGTAACAGTCTGGTCCTTGAGCAAAATCCACGACCAAGCCTCCTCCAGAGGCAAGTGCCTGTCCTGAGATCTGACCCTCATCACTACTCGGAGGGTTTCTGCATTCAGACGCATCCGTGCACAAACTCCAGCCCGTCGCATCAAAGAGAGGGGAGACATGAGATGGACTTTGTCTGGTGCAGTTATGAGGCTCGTGTGTGTGTGTGTGTGTGTGTGTGTGTGTGTGTGTGTGTGTGTGTGTGTGTGTGTGTGTGTGTGTATGTGTTAGTGTGTGTGTGTGTGTGTGTGTGTGTGTGTGTGTGTGTGTGTGTGTGTGTGTGTGTGTGTGTGTGTGTGTGTGTGTGTGTGTGTGTGTGTGTGTGTGTGTGTGAGATCATTAAAAACCTGTTGAGTTTTCTAGTTTGTCTGCCTGCCTGCTTCCTCCCCGGCGTTTGGATCCTCTCCTCCGGTCCACTCACCGTCCTGACACTTTGTGTTGCACATTAAAAAAAATAGTCAAATATTTAAAAAGGACAAATAAAATCAGCAAAAGTAAACATTTCTGGTGGTGTGTTTTAAAAGGTGATGCTGTAAAGAATCAATACAGAAACTTTATACCTCCGTCATCATCGTCATCAACCTCCTGAAACGGAAAGTACATATTTGAGCGGAGCCCTGGGGGGATCACGTGACCCCCGCAGCCAGCGCCATCCATCAATCCGTGGAGTTTGTTTCTGCATGCTGAGAATCTGCTTCGTTTTTTCTCCAGAACAGCTTTCTGATTGGCTGTGGGGACCCGGAGCCCGTTATATAAGCTCAGCAGCCTCAGCAGAAGGTGTGGAGGTGAAAGTGTCACACAGAGGAGACGAGATGCTCACACAAAGACAGACAGACGTGGAGAAAGGTGAGGTCGTTTTTACTGAAATGTTGTGTTTTATTGTTTATGAGCAGAAAAAACTATAATAAAGACGACATGATCAGGATCATTTCTGATGTTTACTTGTTTATTTTCCCCAGCAATCCTCACCACAGCCGCTCTTCTTCTGCTGACCAGAGCAGGACAATCTGCATCGCTGACAGGAAGTTCTGTCACCTCCGCAGCTCCTCCTGTCACAAACTCATCTCTGACAATGTTCCTCAACAGTACGTGTCTTCAGGTCGAGCTCTGAGAAGTCCCTCTGGGATTAAGAAAGCATCTTTGGATTGAATGAAACCTCACAACACAAAGATCCTGATGATTTATCTGAGTCTGCACAGTTTAAGATCTGTTTTTTGGTTTACAAAAGACCATCAGTGAGACGGTTGTGTTGCTAATCAGTCCAGTGAGACACCATAATGATAAATAACAGACAGGTTTTCATTTTGGGGAAAATTTGAATTTATCAGCAAAAAACTTATTTTTTATCTTCATCACACATTTGTGCAAATAAGTTCAGTTTAAAATGAATCAGTTTAGGATTAAATGTTCTGAAGCTTCCTCCTCCTTTCCCTGCAGGCACCGAGGAGCCACCTAAAGTCATGCACTCACACAGGGGATGTGGAAGCAACTACTCTTCATATTGCATGAATGGTGGCGAGTGCATGCACCCCCAAGACAACAACAGGCCTTTCTGCAAGTGAGCGGACATTTAGATAAGATCAGAGCAAACATCACTTCTCCTGCATGTTGGCTCAGGTTCTCATCAGGAATGCACTCAGAGCTCTTTTCTCTCTTCTACAGCTGCAAAGAGTCGTTCTCGGGGATTCGCTGCGAGCACGACGTGATTAAGACCTACATGCTGGACAACATCGAGCCGATGATCGGCATCATCTTTGGGGCTTTCATGGTCCTCGTCTTTCTGGCGATCCTCCTCTACTGCTTTGCTTACAAAAGGTGAGCTTCCTTCTGCAGCCTGCAGAGTTTAAGACTTACAAATTAACAGGACAAGGTAAAAATGATCATTTAAAATAAATGTATGTTTTGTTTCTCTTCCAGGTGCACGCATTCGACACCTCTGATAAAGCCGGCCCCGTCTGAGAACTCGGTGTGACCCGGCTCTCTGGAAAAACAGCCCTTTTTTTACTGTAAAACACCAAATTATGGAAAATTCTAAGAATTTTTACATGTTTTAAAATAATAAAACAAGGACAAACAGCCACAATGCCCTTTGAAGAACAAAAGTGTAAATTTTGCTGTATTTTTATATTGAAAAAGTTGTAAAATGTTGTCCTTCATAGAACATCAACATTTATTTATTGTGATGCTAAAATGATTAAGTTATTTAGTTTTCATTTAATTTAAACTTGCTAATAAATGTATTTAAAAAGAAAAGAGCGGTGTTGTCTGAATTCATGTGAAAACAACCGTTTCTGTGGTTATTTGAACAATAGCAACCACATATTAGACCCACTGGGTTATGAAAGAATTAATATTTGATCATCTATTCATTTATTTAAAGGGACGATCCGCAGTTAAACCACGGGAGAGCTGATTCAAAGGTTAAAACATCCTCTAAAATCTGATTAAGCATGTGAGAGTTCAACGTTTCAGGCATCAAAACCACAAAAACCATCAGAGGATCCATGAGTCATGAGGAGTCTCACACTTTTATTTGATGAATCTGTTAAAAGCTGGAACTGAACACACAATTTGGAGTATCTATTCATTTTAGGAAACTATTTGTTTTATTTGCCTGACTCGATTAAATTCTGCTGGGTTTTAGTGGCTAAACATCCTTTAACCCCCAGAGACCCAAATTTAGAAAACAACTGCAAAATCTTTTTTTAACCGTTCACATGTTGTTGTAGGCCAGATAAACGGGCCTGTTCACACATTTAACAGCCAATAGTGTTGCAGAACTGAACAATAGGACCTATCAGCAATGTAAATGTGGTTTTAAAAAATGGGGAAGGTTTATTTTTGTAGACTTAAATCTGATGTTGTAATATTACAACCGTGGGTCTCTGGGGGTTAAAACGATCTGAAGCAGATCTTCATGATAAGGATTAAAGGCTTGGCCTTCAGATTTGTGAGAAACGCAGTAAAAGAGAAGAAAAAACATGAGGGTGAAACTCGTGATTCATTATTTGGGTAAACTGTTGGTTGTGAAGAGTGAAATGATCTAAATCGGGAGTTTTTTTCACCACACCCACCGCAGGATGGAGCCCACGCGGATGTCAGCGCGCACCTTCCGCTATATCTGCTGGGCCAGTCGGAAGCGCCTCTGCGATCCAGACGCGTTCCTCCTGCGGACCGAAGAGCCTGCTGTCAGCGATCAGACATGTGGAACATCAGAACCTCAGCCCTGCTCCCGCTGCTCGGTAAGGTCTGCTCTCATTCACAAATTAGAGGCTGAAGCTAAAATGATGAAGAAGACTCTTGTTCCGGCTCAGGCAGGCTGGGACATGAAGGAGTTGTGTGGACGTTGCTTTGAGGTGACTGCATGCGTCCCAGCTTCTTCTGCTCTCCACACAGCTAAAGGTTACAGCCTGACATTAAACATGTGAACTGGATCTGGTGCACTGAAAGATTTAAAGGTGGAGCGACCAGTTAGAATGAAAATATGTTCATTTATGTTGTCAGGCTCAGAATTTATTCCATGAAGACAACAAATGATCAGAAAATCTCTTCTACGTCTGTTTATCGTCTTTCTTTTTTACTCTATAGCAACATTTTCCTGAATTAACATGAAATTATACTGTTGCATATATCTTTATTTAGTTTTATCACATTTTTAAATGACCAATGAGATATTTAAACGTTTTCAAGCAGTTTTTATGTCAAAAACTATTTTAGAAGATCTGGTTATCATTTTACTGCAGAAAAACAACAAAACATGTTAAATGACTCGTTATTACAAATAATCAGTCATTTTTGTAAGCAAACACCAACTATTGTGTAATATTTTGAATAGTTGAGGCTTTCCTCCAAGTTAGATTAGACAGGACTCTTGTGTCATAGGTGGAATATTTTACTTCTGGATGCATCACGATTTGGATTAAAACTCTTATTTCTAACTTGTCCAATCACATTCTTTAAATTATAAGAAAAATTGTTTAAATTACTGCAGGAATTTGAATTTATCCCCTTAAACGCTCCAGATCTCTAATATTATATATTTCTGAATAAATGCTGTTCAGGTTTAAAACTTTCTAATTCAGATTGTTGCCTAACCCACTTCAAACACAAATGAATGACTTTCCTATGATCCTGAATGCTGGAACAGTTTTCAGTAAAGACTCAACGCTTCAAATCAGACCAGAAACTTGAGTCTGGAACTTTTAGAAGCGGAAACGTGTAAAACCAGTGGAAGTAGCACAGGTATAGTCAGCATGAGTCACTGGTTCCTGACCCAAACAGGCTGAGCGAAGGCGTGAGAGTCATGCAGAAAGGTCTCTTTGTTACTGAACTCTGACTTTTTTACACCAACACCAAAACCTCCGTTTGAGGTTTCAGTGGGATGTTGGTTTTTGTTGTTGGGAGCATCAGCTTTTTCCCACATGCACCTTTAATGTGATTTCCTGTCCTTCCTGCTGGAATGTGGGCGTTCTCAGACGTCGTCCATGATGAGGTTGTGCAGGTTTGTACAGGCCAGGCTGCCGAGCCTCATCGCAGCCTGCTGGAGCGTGCTGTGACGTTTCTCTATTTCACCTCAGGATCTTCCCTTAAAGGCGTCTCTTATCTCTTTCACACTGAATGTTGCTGTTAAAAAGGATCGACTCAGTAGATGTGTTTTACGTCCAAAAACACAAACGGGACTGATAAATGCGCCGTGCCATGAATTCAATGTTAACTATGCAACAGGAGGAGCGTCGTCCTGGTGTGGAGTTGTTTTAATCTTTCGTTCCATCAGCCAGAACAAAACAAACCTGGTTTTATGTCAAACTAACTGATTTGATGTTTTGAAGAAACTTTTGGATTTCTTGCTTTTCATTTTTGGGTTTTCTACCAGTTGTGCCAAAAATATGTTTAAGAACAATAATGAGATAAGCGAGAATTGCATTTGACCCAATGAGCTTAATGAGTAAATGTAAATTTGAGATAGTTTGTATACGTGAGTGATTAATAACGTCTCTCTGCCATTCTACAGGTGTTGTGCTGATTTGGCCAAATGTGTTTACCGAGAGTGTTTCCCACAACCTGATCACGTCAGACAGCTCGTCCGTGTCTCAAGGTATTTATGAAGAAACTGGAAGTTTAGAGGAAAATAAACCTCTAGACCAGGGGTCCTCGATTATAATGGTCCGGGGGCCACTCACAGAAAAGACCCAGAAGCAAGAAGGCCGGGGGGGGTGGGGGGGGTGGGGGGTCTCTGCTGCTTGCTGGGGCCCCCTAATCGTCTCATTTTGACGCTTGGTCACACGCATGGACGTAATATGGGGGGGGGGGGGGTGACAGGCGGGACATGTCCCCCCACTTTTTCCAAAGTCAAGTTTTGACCCCTGCACTTTTTAACCAAAACAATGTTACGCTATATGAAATTGACACTGGTTGAGCTCTGGGACCAAGCGGAAAAGCCTGTTTCCCATTAGAGTATACTGTAAAGAATCCCCCCCCCCACACACACACACACGTACACACCCCACACTCCCGTGTCCCCCCCACTTCTAAAGTGAAAATTACATCCATGGCCACACGCGTCAGTATTTGACGCTTTGGGTGTGGGAATGTGTTGGTAATGCACTCTCCTGTCCGTGTGACCCTCATGTCCACGCTGTCTCTGGAGGAGCAGATAGGAGACAAGACCTCCTGTAACCTAAAATGAACCAAAGCTTCTTCCCAGTTTCTCTTCAAGCTGAACTTAACATCAGTTTATCATCATGAAACAAAAGAATAAAGTGGAACAAGAACTTCTATCTTCTATTTCTCTCTCCTTTTAACTTCTCCGTGTCGCTAAATAAAAGAGACAGATGATCACGCTGCAGCCACCGTCACTGACCCCGCCCCCTCCCCAAGACCGGATCTCCCGACATCACAGCACTCGGTCTAGAGGATCTCTTTTAAATGTGTTATGTTAATGAACAATGTAAGAAGACATTTAACCCTTCAAACCCCTAACTGGATTTGGCAAACTTTAACAAGTGCTGATGGCCTAAATGACTCATAAAGGTGGACAGGTGAGTCACCGACTCACATGGTTCAGTAAAACTTCAAGTGTAAAGAAGTGATTTAAATGAGAGGTTTTAAAAAGCAGCTGAATATGTCCAGTTAACATGGATGTGTTTATTAAACAATAAACAACAATAAAAGATGAATTAGTGGGCTGGTGGAGATCTGAGTCAGGTCACTGGCATCAAATCCAATATGGCTACCCTGTGCACAAAAGTTCATGGTAGCTGTATCGATAAAGTTCTTACTTACACACACACACACACACACACACACACACACACACACACACACACACACACACACACACACGCACGCACGCACGCACGCACACGTCTGTCTTTCTGTCAAATCCATTGACTTCCATTTATTTTGTGATTGCACCATGCCTAACCCTAACCCTAACCCATACCCCAACCCTAACCATAACCAACGCTGATCTACTCCCAACTCTAACTTTAACTAAAGCTAAATTCACACTATACCTATAACTCTAATCTGGATTGCATCACATATATAAATATTAAAATGTTCCTTTTCTGTCTGTTTCTGATCTTCCTGCATCTCCTCCCAATCCAGCAGAAAAACTGCTACCTGGCTTCCTATATTTGACCTCACGAGTTACTTTTGAACTAAGCAGTTCAAAGGGATCTTTCGACCGCAGAGATTAGCACAGTGCACGCCGGCTGCGGCAGTGACATGAAGTCATTGAAGCGCTAGACAGATGATGCGCTCCGCTCTGCAACAGTGAAGCACAGCAGGCACAAATAAAAGAGAGAACGCGCCAGAGGATATGAGCCGACACAAACGATAGTGTGTTAATAATATATTTTTGGGATTTTTGTTTGAATGTTATTGTGGCCGTGCGCAGGATGCAGCTGCCTGGAGTGCATCGACGATCAGCACGCTGCGTCTTCTGTGCTCAAAACAATCCCTGGAGAGTCCACATAGGTGTATGTAATAAAGGTAGAACCAGGGTCTTTTTCTGGGCTCCCCCTGGGTGTGTAAGGTGAGGGCTTCCAGGGGAGCCGTCACCCTTTCAGGCAAGGCTCCCCTTAGCTCCCCCATAATTCGAACCCTGAGGTGCGGTTTTAGGATCGTAGAGCAAGATAACCATCAATGAGATTGCTGTAGGTGGGCGGAGCTTCCCTCCAATCACTTTTAGGGGTGCTAGGATTCAGTTTAGGGCTAGAAACGCCAATGATCCAAATGAAGTATTAGGATTTGTACCTTCATCACAATCCTACCAGATCTAGTCTCATTCATCTCTACCACCCCCTGGTGGAGAGTCTACAGATGAACAAGTGTCAAAAAATTTTTTTCAATATTTTTATTAAACTACATAATGGAAAAAAATCATGTATTTTCATATAAATGTTAAAGAGAAATTTTAAAAGTGATTATGATTATTATATATTTTTACTTTAAATGAACAGTATACATCTATCTGTCTGTCTGTGTACCCTCACAGCCTTGACAGAACCGTGGAAAGACAGAAAATCATCATGAACGTCGTGTATGAATTGTATTAAGCTTCAGGGATTCCTACTAAAACGTGTCTGCTGCTGTTGTTTCAGCTGAGGGAGAAGAGCGCCCCCGTGTGACGAAGCGGTCCTTTGAGAGCTGCGACAGCACGTTTGACCACTACTGTCTGAACAACGGCAAGTGTATGCTGCTGTTGGACATGAACGAACACCACTGCAAGTATGTGCGTGTGTGTGTGAGTGTGTGTGTGTAATTACTCCTTCCTGATCACATGCAGTCATTCACACACACACCTGTGTTTGTGTTACAGGTGTGGGACTGAGTTCTCTGGGTCCAGGTGTGAACATCTGAATTTTGTTGTTCAACCTTTGGCTGAAGGACAGATCATCTTCATCGTTTTCTGCGTGATTCTGCTGACGCTCGGCCTGTCTGGAGCTCTGTACCTCTGCTGCAAGTGGTAAGGATTTCATCTGGTTCGTGTGAAAGGAGAGAACTCCTGAGAGGCTGAAATACAGGGTGACAGTTACGGTTAAAGCTGATAACGTGTCACATTTGAAGTGGAGACGGGATGGAAAATGTTATTCGTTGTACTTTTCTGGCATTTCACTCATTTTATACCTAGTCCTCTGCAGACCTAGCCTGGCCTGCCAGACTCGTCCTCTGTTTAATTCTACACACAGAACTGTCACTATTCCCATGCGGAAGCTTTGGGCTGGCTGGTCAGGCTGCTCCAGACTAGCCTCACATGCAGATATTTTTTTAATGAGAAAGTTTTAGAAACAGAGGGTAGAAAAAACATTTTAAGGTCTAAAAATGAGCTGTACTAGAGTAAAAAACTAGAAAAAACCTGGCAATGACCCAAAACAGCGATGCTTTAAATTGAGCTGATTTCGTGTTATACGTTTTCAGCTGACAGCTTGTTCAATCAAATAAGTATTTCTGTTATGTTTGCAGAGCTGAACTGAACTGTTCGTTCGTTTTCATAAATATATCTAAGAAATTCAGTCAAACAGTAGAAATATGTAAAAATTGTGTTTTTTGTGACATGGCATTATTGTGTGCTAGCATGTGGGCCTCTACTGCCTTTTTACACACAAAAGACTTGACCCCAATACCCCATCCATCCATCTTCTGTCAGTGTTTGGTTTTAGGAATTATCGATCTAAAATTAGCCATTTCAAAAAGTTCCCTTTTGTGATGTCACAAACAGAAATAACAGAAAACAACCACCTCTCATGTGCAAGACTGCTGGAGGAGCAGTAGCTCTACCTCCAGCCCCTCCTGGATTTTAGAGCTCCTCAGCTTATAGCAGCCTGTGTGAGGGTGGGTGGGCGTGGCCAGCTCCAGCTTGTTTTCTTAAAGTGACAGAGCCCTGAAATAGCTCAATCTGGAAGTTACTGAAAATGTCAATATTAAAACTGCTGAAGTGGCTTTATCGCTAGGGATTTAGTGAAAATAACATCATAAGTAACAACAATTCCTTGTGGTATATGGAGATAACATTCTGGAAAAAGAAAACCAAAGTTTAGGGAAACGCACTAAAAAATTCAATAGGAATATTGATTTGGATAAAACCCTGCTCTTTTTAAACAATAAAAGGGAAGTTCTAGACTTTTGCAAAGCATCTTTGATGAGGATGAGGAAATGTTCCCAAGTAATTGGCACCTAGGTAAATATTATTGTGGGGTAAAATCAAATTAAAACTAATTGTTACGGATGATTAAAAAAAACAACTGGTGTTTTTGTTGTGATTATGCTCTAACGTGACTCATCCGTGATGATTGTTTAAGCAGTATCAGAATAACAAGAATCTGGGAGGGTTGTTTTGTGGGGCAATTAGAGGTAATTACAAAAAAATCTCAAAAACAAGAGTGAATGAGTTGTTCAGAAACTTCATTCTCAAGCAAACAGCAACAGAACAGAAGAGATTTAATATGAAATTGCAGATGATGAAAATGGATGCCGATTTGTGCCTAATGGATGCATTCCAAACTTATATGCATTGAAAAATCATGATCAGGTCACAATGACATGACTTTTTCTTGTTTCAAGTCAAACCTCAGGATATTTAAAGCACTACTGTAATGGACACCGCAGGAAAGTCATAATAAAAGTTTTGCTCTTCCTGCAGGTACAAACAGAGCAAATTCTCACAGCAGCAGAAGCAGCCGAGTTACAAAGTCGTCCAGGCGGTTTGAAGTGACGGACACCCCCCCGTCTGCAGCGGCTGTTTCCAAGATGAAACGTTTACGACACAAAGGTGTTTTCAGACCAGCTTCCCACTGGTTTTTCACAGCCTGGCTGCTACTCACCGCTCATCACTATCACGCAGGAATATCATAAAGAGATTAAAGGAGACAGCTTTGTGGGCGGAGCCATTGTCTTTCAGCTTTAACCAGGTCTTAGGTTTCATCACCCTTTTGCTCTCTGTAAAGATGAATGGTGAGAAAAACACAAAGCCGTTTCTCGTTGGAGACCATGAATTCAAAGAAAATAACACAACAGGATGAGGAAGAAAAGAGCAGGGAAACTTTAGAAGCGCTGTGACGTCGATTCTCCTTTCATCCATTTTATTTACCGACCTAAATTCAAACCAATAGTAAACATGGAAATGTTCACCTGCCTGATATTTTTATTTATAGTTCGCTTCGGTCTTTGTATTTATTGTAATTATTTTTTAGGGTTTTAAACACTAAAAATGACCAATAAAATGATTTATTACAGAGTAGATCAGTGACTGACTTTAAAGGTTTTACTGGCTTATTTAGTCCGACTTGTAAAACTTATTACTTTTATTATTATCATTATTATAATATTTACTAAATTATTTTCAGCTCGAAAAACATAACTTTTCAACTTCTGTGTCTTTTTTCCTTTAACGTAACACTGAGGAGGTTCCTCTGCCCTACTGGTTGAAAGTGGAATTACAACTGCCGTAAATAGCCCCGCTACATCCAGCTGTAGCTAGCACTAACAACGAGCTAACAGTAACACGAGCTAACTAATACGAAAATAAGCCACGAAGTAAAAAGATCCACACTGTTGGACAAAAGCCAGGTCACCATCGGTCTGTGGTTGTACTCAAGCTGGTGTCCATGTTCACTTCTCTGCTTCTCCTCTAAAGACACTACTCTCCTACTTTTACTTCCAGGCTCTGCCGTGTTCCTCAGTGTTTCTCACGTCTTGCTTACGAGGACGCGGTCCTTCCTGGGTCAAAGAAAATGATTAAATGGAACAGACTTGCATCACGTGGCTTCCGTGGCTTCCGTGGCAGTCACGTAAAGTCACGTGACACGGGAGATAATGTTATATTTTATACGCACAAGTTTCAATATAAATATATAACAAGCCTTTTACTTTTTAAATTGTGTATATATTTGTTAAATTAAACATGTAAGCGAGTTACTACCTGCTAGCCACCGAAGCTGAACCCACTAAGCAACTAACCGACCATTTTATTACACGTCAGCAGCTAAGAGTGACTTGAATGGGATCGGGAACGTAGCTGCATTTGTAGCACAAATATGTCAAATTCTTATTTTTTTTATTTCATCTTTTATTTGTTTGAGGCAACGAGGGAGGTTAAGTTAATGTAAATTAATAAATATCTATTAATAACTATATTAATATTAATGTGAAAGTAATCTAAGTTATGTTTATCTTTTTGTTACAAACATTTATATATATATATTTTTGGAATGTTTTTGTCATTTCTTTTATTTAAGTTCAGTGCCTTATATGGGAATAAGATGTGCTCTGCGTCTGTGATTCCGTTTATCATTTAATTTATTAGTTTAGTTTATTTCAAACAAAGAAAACATACATTTTTTTTAAATACCACAAACAGAAAAAATACATATCATCCCTTCTTCTGTGTTTGAAAAGGAGTAGGCTGAAGTGGAAACTTATATATCCCTACCCCTTTATACAAGTAATTTTTACTTGTTTACTAAATCTAACACAAAACCTACATTAAAACAAACAAAATGGTACAAGTCACCAAAAACCACCAAATTATATGGAAAAAACAACAAAAGAAAAAAATAACATCTTTTTACAATTGATACAATTTACTTTTCCTTAGAATAAAGGACACCCACATAAATCATCTATTTTCCACTATATACTTGTTCAGAATATGTTTTTTATAATTCATTTTAAACACATTTATATTTGTACTTACTTTGATTTCTTCTTCTAAATTGTTCCATAATCTAACCCCTATTATTGTGATACACATCTGTTTTAATGTTGTTCTAAACTTATGGATCTTTAAGTTTAGTGTCCCTCTCAGGTTATATCCTCCTTCTCTCTCTGTGAACAGTTTCTGTATTTTATCAGGCATTAATTTATTTCTTACTTTATACATTATTTGTGCTGTTTTGTATTTAACCAAGTCCTGGAACTTCATTGTCCGCGTTTTAATAAAAAGTTCATTTGTGTGATCCAAATATCCTGCATTTGTTATTAATCTGATAGCCCTTTTCTGCATTGTTGTTAATGTCTGTAAATGACTTTTGTACGTGTTTCCCCAGACCTCTACACTATAGCTCAAATATGGCAGTAGCATCGTATTGTATAACATATAAAGTGCTTTCTGATTAAAAATATACTTAGCTTTCCCCAATATAGCAATGCCCCGTGCAAGCTTCCCCCTAACATATTTGATGTGTGGCTTCCAACAGATTAATCTGAGTGGAATGCTTTTATTCTAAGGTTACTGGTGTGTTTTTTTATTTCTAATTGTACTTTTTGATGAATAACAATGGAGATTAAATGCATCAGGCAGAAATGTGTGCCCTCGTCCTTCACATTCCTGAAATTCCTTCAGAATCTTTCGAGATTTTATGCAATGCTGTGAGAAAAACATGCAAGTTCTTTGGCATTTCTGTAACATTAGAGTTTAGAGTACTTCAGTGATTTACGCACACGTTTGTTTACAAACTAGACTTTTCCCTTGCTAAAATATTTATTACCACTATTCTGACATCAATTCACAATTACCTGTTTTCTTTTTTTAATCTGATTGTTGCCCTTGTCTAAACCCATTTTGTGCTTGGGTTTCGTTCCTGACATGCATGAGAATTAAAAATGTCTGAAGCTCTCCCTCAAACACAAATAAAGAATCACTTCTGTCCGAAACTGTTTCATCACTCCTGTCAAATGTTATTAATACTTCTCTGACATTGCTGCATTTATAGTTGCATCTGCAGACTTCTTTTATATCGTCATTAACCTACATTATGTCAGTGGAGACGTGTTGATTCTAATCAAATCAGCTGCAATTGTGTAAAATAAACAAATATCAGTCAACATCAGGGCCGGCCCAAGCATTTCTGGGGCCCCAAGCAGGATTTCCTTTAGGGCTCCCCATACCAACCAGTCAATACCGGGTAATCCATATTTCCTAGCTTCACTATGGTAGTAACACACCCAGTATCACTAGCATCTTTTGTAATTAGCTTACATCATACTGGTTCTATAATGTAAACATTAGCATTAGTATCAAACAACCAAAATTATCTAATTAATTTGCATTTTTAAATGCAGAGTATCATTTAATTGTGGTATTAATTCAACCACTCGAAAGTAATATCTGAAGAAAGGAAAGCAGAATTTACAGTAAACAATTTAAGTCTTTTGTTTAAAAATCTGTAACAGATGTATAAAATGTCCAATCACTAAAAAAATCAAACCAAATGACACTAAAGTAATGTATGTATCTTTCATTTTCCATGTGATATAATTGTATGTGTATAATTAGAAATTATTAAAACATTTTCTCACACTATCTTGGTGCTCATGGTGGCGCCCTGGTGGTGTGGGGCTCCAAGCAGACCCTTAACCCGCTTATGCCTTGGGCCATCTCCGTCTAATGGCGCGTTCACCTCTGGGCCAGCATGGACCGGACTGGGTGGCGTCGGTCCGGGTTCCACACCAGTAGGTTTTGTTCACACACACTTCTCAGGAACGGGGAAATCTCCGAGCACGTGGGCCATGAAGGAACTCAAAGATGTAAGCAGCGACAACCTGAAAGCGCAATAGGAGAGCGCCATTTACAAGACTGTCATCAGATGGATTTCCTACTTACCGGACAAACGACAGAGACACCCACATCCTTTGTCCAAAGGGCACTCCCTCCCGCGACTAAAGTTGGCTTAATTTTCTTTATATTTTCAGTTCAGTGATCCTTGTACTAACTGGATTGTACACTCAGTTCATGGACTGTAGTTAGATTTCAACTAGAGGTTAAGCATTGGCCTGTAGAGTAAATTGGGCCAAATAAAAGGCTAAAATGAGTTATTTTTGTAGGAATTTCATAATGTAAAAAAGTGGGAAAGCTTCATAAGATGTATTCTTCCATCTGCTCCCTTTTCATTCATGGATTTTTGGTGGAATTTTAACGTTTGGTGATTTTTTCTGCTCTTGTTTTTAATTGTTTAAATGAAAAGCATCGAATTTTTAGAAGCTAAAACAGAAGTTATACGTGTCTGGATACAGAAGCCCATGAAGTCATAGGGTCTGTATTCTCATCTGCATCTAGGTCAGGATGGTACTGATGTATCCAGAGAATATCTGGGTCAGTGGGCTGGAAAATGAGCTGGTGAAGAACAAGAACGGCCAGTCCTTCACTGCACATGGAACCACTCTTAAATGTAACATCGCACATTAATCTAGTTTAACTGGAATCAACAACCCCCTCGGCTGCTCTCGTCATCTGCCCGTTGGAGGCTGGAGTGGTGGTAATCCAACCAGCCATTGAAGCTTATGATGTCCACGCTGGACCACGCTGGTCCACGGTAAAAAACAGCACGGTGTGTCCCCGTGTCCATCACACCTCTGCTTTCATCAATGAACACGTTTACTGCAATGGTGGCTCTGCAGGTTAAATCCCATCACTCACACCTGGCTGGAGGTGTCACCCGTGTTCCATCACCGCTGCTACGTGAGCAACCACTTTGACTTGCATGTACATAATGAGAGGCAATGATGGACACATAGCAGAGAACTATCAGCCAGATACCAACCTGTGGACTCTCATCACACCGATGGTGTAGGGGAGCTAGCTGCACCACATTCCAGGGGGAAGAGTGTGGCTGTGCTTTGGTGGAAATTAACTGAAACTTGTGTAATTTTGGTCCTTAAAAGGAACTTATGGTTTCCAGAGAAAGACTTGAGGCGCATGGATGGGGATAAAGAGGAAAATGGATCAAGGCTACTTAAAAAAAAACTCATTTTGCAAAAAAAAAAAAAGGATTTAGTCATTTATTCAAACAATCCAAAAATGTTCCCACTGGCATCTGCATGGATAAAATATTATATTTTAATACGTATGTCAGGAATGAGATTCGTCACTTGAGCAGAAAAATGGCTGTCGTGTATTCAAGACTGATAAGCTAACAGCTAATCTGAATGCTGTGTCTAACCACATCAACAAATTCTCATAAGTCATGCAAATATTTTACAAACCTTTTAAACACTTTTGTTTATTTTCATTTATACCTAACATAATCTATATGTAGCATCATGTAATGAGGATTTATTTTGATTTTTGTTTTTTAGGTGAATTTCTCAAAATAAAGTACTCTGCATATATGGTGAGAGAGGGATCTTTAGTATGGAGTGTGGTTTTAAAGATGTAGAAAAATAGTCTCCTACACCTATCTCCTTTATTAGCTTCTGATAGAAAATAGATGGTGAAAACCTAGAATTTGAAAATCCTGACAGATCACTGAATTAACATCCATGGATGCACCCATCTTGGCTCACAACAAGGAAGGCTGTTGTTGGTTTAGCGTCAAGGAAACAGCAGACGTCTCAACTAGCAGAAGCTAACCGTTAGCATTAGCAACACCACCACACAGACACTCCTCCAGGCTTGTGTTATTTGTGAAAGCAAAACATCCAAGTTACAAGTCGAGGGCTGATTTCTATACTTTTATGGGCTTCCCTCTCTCCAGCCACTTGGGCCAGCTCCTTCGAGGGAATCTCGGAGCGTTCCCTGGCCAGCTGAGAGAGATAGTCCTGCCAGCATGCTCTGGGTCTTCCTTTAGGTCTTATCCCAGTTATGCCTGAAAAACCTCACCAGGGAAGCATCCAGGAGGCATCCTAACTAGATGACTGAGCCACCTTAACTGGCTCCTCTCGATGTGGCAGAGCAGCGAATCTACTCCGAGCCCCTCCCAGATGACCGGCCTTCTCACCCTATCTATAAGGGAGAGCTCAGCCACCATGCAGAGAAAACTCATTTCAGCCGCTTGTATCCGCGATCTTGTTCTTTAGGTCACTACCCAAAGCTTGTGACCATAGGTGAGGGTCGGAACGTAGATCTATCAGTGAATCAAGAACTTTGCCTTCTGGCTCAGCTCTCTTTTCACCGTGACAGACCGGTACAACACCTGAATCACTGCAGATGCAGCATTAATCCGCCTGCCTCCACTTGGGGTAGAACTTCATCCCTGACCCAGAGAGGGCAACCTTTTCAGAGGGCCTGGTATCCCATACTCCTGAAGTACCCCCAAAGGGCCTTCCAAAGGAGGGGCAGTCAAAAGCCTTTCTCCAAAACCACAAAACACATGTAGATTGGTTGGACAAACTCCCCTGGACCCTCCTAAGGGTATAGAGCTGGTCCAGTGTTCCACGGCCAGGACGAAAACCACATTGCTCCTCCTGAATCCAAGATTCGACAGTCCGTCGGACCCTCCTCTCCAGCACTCCTGAGTAGACCTGACCCGGGAGGCTCAGGAGTGGGATCACCCTGTAGCTGGAACACATCCTGTGGTCCTCGTTTTTAAATGTTTTTAACACATTTGGAGCATCTTTCATGGACACGTTGTGCAAAACTGAAAGTTACGCATGAATTATTCAATAAAATTTTCGAAACACATCCTAATTCTGGCACTGCTTGTTTTGGAAGCTCTGGATCACGTTTCAGATTGGGATAAAAGCATCCGTGTAAAACGATCACATCTGGCTGCAGAATTGGTCATTTTCAGCAACCTTAGAGGCAGTAGCATCGGAAATTTTACGCTTCCTGACGGAAACGCCACGAGCCTTCTCAGAACAAAAAATCACCTAGAGATCTTTGTCGCGAACTCTCAGACATTTGTTTAAAAGGTGATGATGGATCACGCTTTTATGATTGATTTTGAAGTCACGGAAAAACACTTGACTGGAGTGGCGTTAATGAGCAGCGAGCTTTTATTCCATGGAGCCTGATTAGCACCTGTTCCGGAACCAATGAGCCGACTCTGGCTCCTTCATGTGTTCTTTATGCTAATGACCTGCAGCGGTGAGACGTAAACATTAACTCGCACGTTCTCTTAAGACATACTTAAAAACACATTTGCATGCACTTACACACTAAGACCCACAAACACACCCCCTCGCCGGCTTCCGGTGTGTTTCTAAATATACAACTTGTGGATCAGCGGCTCCAGAACTCAGAACCTGCTCTTACCTAATGGTTGCATAAGTACTGGCAGGTTATTCATACTCTGAGTAATGTTGTTGGTGGAAGGGAAGCCCCATTAAGCTGCATCATTGCGTGTCCTTTGACAGAACTAAGCCTTCCACGTGTACGATGTTGTTTTTCTGCTCCAGACTGATTCATGTTGTCTTTTGCCCGATGTCGTTTAGGTTTTTCACACTTTGTACCAACTTTCTGTGACGTGTGTTAAATTTTAAATAATTCTTTCTGTACTTCTGGAGGTTCATCTACACCAGGTGTCCCCAACTCCAGTCCTCGCCGGTTACCATCCTGCTGGTTTTCCGTGCTTCCCGCTTGACCACACCTTAATGGAGGGATTGATTCATCTCTCCTCACCACTTTTAACTTTGCACTGGCCTGCTAATTACTCATTCATTTCAATCAGGTGTGTAGGAGCAAAGAAACTGATAACATGTGCAGGATGGGAGCCTCCCAGGACCAGAGTTGGTGACCCCTGATCTACATCACGTTTGTGGATGTTGTAAGTTTCCAGAGGATGAAGCAAACGAACTTTGACCCACTTTTCACTGACCCAACAAACTGGAATGACTGTCATCTACCGCAGGTGAGACACTGACTACTCTAAATTACTACAAACCTTAGCTTCAAATAAGTAAGACACAAGTTACAGGTCATAATCCATCCGTTTACCGGTATTCCTCATCCATTCATCCAACCACCCTTCTACACATTATCCACTGCTTTTCCGTGGTAGAGCGTTGAGGGTAGCAGGTCTAGGAGTAAAGTCCAGACATTCCTCTTCTCAGTGCCACTCTCCAGCTCCTCCTGAAAAGTCATACAATCCATTCAGTGACTTCTGGAGACCAATTCTCCCCTTTCTATGAAACATCTTAGCTTAATGCCCGAACCACCTTGGCTGATTCCTTTTGACGAGGAGGAGCAGCGACTCTTCTCCAGAGAAGAAGCTCATTAACTGAATGTAAGATTTAGATCTTTTGGTCGTATTCCAACTACCAGGATAATGGGTTGGAACCGACACAGACCAGCAATATGAGAGCTCGTCTCTTTTAGGCTACAGCATAACCCACAGGACTGAAGATGAAGTCCAGTTCTCGTTCCAACGAAACGACAAGACTCGTGTTGCAAGAGGGCCTTTTCTCAAAAAAATGTTTATTATTAAATTTGTTAAGTTAGTAAAGAAAGATAAAGGAGTATTCAGAGATAATAAAGATACTAGCTTCATATTAGTGTCAGAAAGCAGTTTTTTTTAGACTTCCTGATGTTAGCTAGGCAGCCGTATGGGCGGCTGTCATTAGGCTCGTGTCAGACTTTCCACTCGTTCGTATCGCACGCCGTCATGGCCGACACACACAATCCAAACAGTCTCAATCCACCGCTGTTTCCAACCTAAACTTGTCAGGAGGAGCTCCTGAAGGATGCTGAGGTTTTGGAAAAGTTCCCGGCATTCTGCGGAGGTTTCTGCGGGATTCCAGCGGAGAGCATGCAGACACAACAACATGAGCAACAAACATCAGGGCAGCCTCCTCCCCACCCAGAGCCTCAAGGTCTCTGCTTGGTTACGGAGTCCTGAAATAGCAACACCGCGCACGGTTTTAACACACACACACACACACACACACACACACACACACACACACACACACACACACACACACACACACACACACACACACACACACACACACACACACACACACACACGCTGATGTCATGATTTATGGATTTGTTATCTCAAAGAAAAGAAAATGATGTTTTATGATAAGTTTAAGTAAACAGAGGTGGAAAACGGATCCCTCGATATAAAAATAATCACCTTTTATTGTTATAAATTCTCAGAAGTTGACACTAATCTTATTTGTCAAGAAATCCTTGGTTTATGTCAAAATCCTTCATTTCCCCCTTCATAAAACACATTTTCATCCATCAGTTACTACATTACAGCCGACTCCAGTAAACCTGACTTTTGGTTATGGTCTGGATTAATATCCATGGATGGCTCTGTCCTCATCTGGAACGTGTTTAGTCTATGTTGAAGTACGGGTCTTTTTAGGGTCAAAATGCTGCCAATAAATGATTCCTTTGGAAGTGAATGGATGTGTGGACGTTCCCAAGTTTCACTTGGCATCGGTCCGATCACACCCAGTAATAAAACTCTTTTATAACTTTCTTTTTTCCATCCTCCAACTTTGGCCCCTGAGTGAAATGTGGCCGTGGCTCTGGGTGGCAGTTCATTTAAAAGGTAACGAGTGTGTGTGTGTGTGTGTGTGTGTGTGTGTGTGTGTGTGTGTGTGTGTGTGTGTCTCCTCGCTGCCAAATAAACTCCTTTTCTTTGTTGTTTTGTAGTTGAAATTCACTTGTAACCATCACACTTTAAAATACGATCCTTACCAGGGATATGGAAGCGAAGTCTGTCCAACATGTTGACTTACCTGCTTGAGTCGGGTCTAAAGCAGCGGTGGGATTCAGGCTTTCTTCATGGAACGCTGAAGTGATAACGGATACAGGAAATTATATTAATGAACCAAATATTCCCGGACATCAAATAAGGACATGAGGTGTAAAACATGTTGCCTGGGGTGTGTTAATCATTAAACACACGCACACGCACACGCACACGCACACACACACACACACACACACACACACACACACACACACACAGTTTGGAGGCGGTCTATAAAAGCCACTGCACCTAGAGGAGGTAAAGAGCACTTATTCCATCAGCACACACACATTCCAGCTCACACACACCAGGAGCAGGACAGTCGGACACAAAAACACATCTCTTCCTGGGATATGAACCGCCTCGTCATCATTTGTCTGCTGTGCATCGGTAAGTTCGGGACTTTACTTCTGTTAAGTTTAGTCAGCTGGAGGACAGCGTCTGCGAGTGCCGACTCGTCGGCCAGGGAGGAGAATTCCAGGTATTTCAGGGAAAGAGCTCGTGTCAGAAACAGAGCGGGTCAAGTCGGTAATCTGGGAAAGGTTTTAGATCATTCACATTTATTTCTGATTGTTGTGATTCATCTGTGGAAGCAGACTGGTTGTACTGGTTCTGTGGCGTTCTCTGGTGTTTCTAAAGGTGTCCTAAATAGATGAGAGCAGCAGGGACAAGATCTCTGCGTATGATCTAAGTACTGAAGACCGGGGGGGGGGGGGGGGGGGGCGGGGGGGGGGGGGGGGGCTTGCTTGTGAGAGACATATGTGATTTATTAATTAATTAATTTATTTGTTTGCTTTGCAAAATCCCGCTGACTATAATTTGACTCTTCCAAGTGTGAAGTGGTTTTATTTGGAGCTGGCTTCCCGTCTGAGAGGGATGAATGAAGTTTATAGAAATCTTTTTTTCCCCAAAGATTTTGTTGGAGACTCTCATTTGGCTCATGTTTTCTCTGGGATGTGCAGTTGTTTGCAGTGCTCTGGATGTGCAGGGATCCTGGGACGCCACATATTCCAGTGAACTAGCCAGAGTGGCGGGCGGTCCAGCCTCCGGCGAGGGCCTCCTCACTTCCCCGGTCGATGATGACGAGCTGGAAGTAGATAAAGAACTTTCAGGAGGAGACAGTGGAAACTTCATCTTCCATGGTATGAAAACAACTCCGTAGACATGTTTTACCCCCCACCGATTCACTCTTCTGTTTTTATAACACAAAGCCTCAATAATAAACGTTTCTCTTCTCCTCCCGTTAGGCGTGCATCCCAAAGGGGAGAGGAAGAGGAGGAGAGGGAAAGGCAAGAGCAGAAACAAACATAGGAGCAATTTCACAACCCCTCTCAACCCCGAGCACACAATCATCACACATGGGTACACATCCATGCACACCACCACCGAGGACCCCTGCACCTCCACCCACCTGGGCTACTGCATTCATGGCTACTGCAAGCACATGGAGGGCCTCCAGGAGCCGGTCTGTATGTGAGTACAACCCCGCCTCCTGCAGTCATGTCGCAGATGTATTCTCAGAGTGAAAAATGCTTAAATCTGCCATCTTTGCTCTGCAGATGCATGAAGGGTTATAATGGAGAGCGCTGCGGGATTCAAACGTTGGAGACCTTCACCCCAAACACGGGCTATGACACCGAGCTGGTGCAGACGGTTTTAGTGGTCATCGCTGTCATCCTGTCCGTCATCAGCTGCTGCGCCGTCCTGCTCATGACCTGCGCTCAGTAAGTGTGGAAGCATGGCGCTCCGAGACAACAAACGGGATGGGTTAGGGTTGCATAGAACAAACAACAGGAACCCCAGAAATACATGATAGGACTGAATTCGTTTCCAAAAACAGAAAACACAAACTTCAATAGAAATAATGTGATTTCTATTACAAATAATAAAACTTCCTGCATCTTCAGTTAATCTGTGATTCGGTCATAAATCGCAACCATGTCATCATCTGTTAAAGAGGATTTCTGGAATTATGGGGCTATTTCTAACCTTTGCTGTGAAAACTCTGCAGGACAGGAATATTTTAGGATATGTCGGATTACACATAATGAGATCAGGATTATTAGAGATTTAATCAGGAATCTCAGATTTAACTCTGCGTGTTGTCACCTCGTTCTCAAAAGCTGAAACTGAATCCGTCGGCTCCAAACACAACGGCCCTTGTCCTCTTTGAGGCTATGAAAAGAGGAAGATCACAGACAGCCGCCCCCGCCCACGCACACTACGATCCACACACTCTACCCAGAAACACGTCTCGGCATTTGAACAGCCAGCCAACAGAAAAAGTGCAGCGACACGCCCGAACACACCCGCATGCTTCAAGAACGGACTCTCACAGCTTCGTGACATGAAGTGAAATTTGCAACTGGGCCATAAAAGTGTGTCTCATCACACTATCACTCAGGTTCAACCCCCTTTATGTTGTTTTACTCTGTGTCAGTGTGTGACAGGTCACACCGTATCAGCCGTGATTACAGCCGACCGAGTTCAAAGAGAGCACGGCGAGGCAATAAACGCAGAGATCAAACTTAACGGAGTTAAAATTAAACCAAGATGGTTAAATCTCATTTTCTGATCTTAACACCTCAACAGTAACGTCAGGATTAAGATGAATCTGAGTGTTTTATTCACTTTAATCCATAAACAAACCTCAGTGTTGCAGAAGATCGAAGCTATGAGTCTAAAGTCATCTGACCGTCACAAGGGCTGTAATCTTCTTGTTGTTTTGCATTAAAATGCTGACACTGAGAATCCTCTGTAGTTACAGGTCTCATAAAAACTTCCTGGCATCCTACTTTGGAACGGGGTCGGAGCAGGAGAAACTACAGAAACCCATCGGTGACGTGGTGGTGTGAGGGCGCGACGTCGCCATGAGGTGGGTGTCTCAGAGGTTTCCTTCCATTTGTACGCTGACACGTAACGTTTTAGTCCAACACCCATAAAAACAGTCAGTAATAGTATGAAACCTACAGCAAAAAACAAACTTAGAGGGGGAAATGTTACGTTTCAAAATAAGAGCGTTTCACTGAGGTGGCGCCATGCCATTTCCTTAAGCAACACAATGACACATTGGTGATGACAGCTTCCTGTTTTCCTGATGGTGTGACGTGACTCCTTCAAAAGCTTTACTTAAGTCCAGCTAACCTCAGGTCATGTGACGAGTGAGCTGAACAGGAAGGAGTGGCTGTAAGGAGAACCCGTAGGCTTGTTTTTGTTGTGGAATTAAGAGGTTGCATCATGCGAAGTGGGATCCCCACCGGAGGACTTAGCGTGCATTAACCAGGTGTGTTTCTGTCTGCACACCTGGAAGAAAAGGAAACTAGACCACACACTAGAGCGTGCACATTCATATGAGTGTCCAAATGCTGACGGTATGGACACACCGAGCGTCCACGTGATGATGTTGCTGTAAGCGTTAAAAAGCCTTACTCACATCCGATCAGACACCAGGATCTTCCACACGCAACACGTCTGCTGTCTTGATGTGGAAATTTTATCCCCGAGGATAAAGTGACGGTGCGGTTTGTTTGTTCTGTGTGTCACTCAGATCCAATCTAAAACTCTTATTTTGAAAATATCTCCTCGTTAATTGAAGCTTTTTTGGGTTTTCGCATTAACACGTTGAATTATTTAACAACTCAAACATTTATTCTTCTGTGTTTCTAGAACTTAACCTCTGCAGCATCATAAAAAATAATAAATGTTTCTACAAATAAAAATTCTTTTGTGTATTTGAGACATTTGGTGTGGTTAGCTCGCCTGTTTTCGTTTAAAATTCTGACAAAGATGCTTCACGTGGTGTTCATTTATTAGGTTTTATACGTTTAAGTCCCAAAGCGCACGTTAGTATTTGTTTTAGTGCCTCGGTGTGTTGCTTTCAACAAACATGAATGTTTTTATTTACATGTTTGTTAAACTCTTATTTGTCTTTCCACAGCCGATTTGACCAAAAGAAGAGTCTGAAGACTTGAGGGAGTTGTAGATGGCTTCACTAGATGCTGTGTGAAAAAAAGCGCTCTTCACAACTAGTTAGGATTTAATTTATTTAGTATGATTATTTATTGCTGTCTGTGTGTTTGTTGAACTATTATAATGTCACATGATGTGTGAATGCTGAGCATTCATCTTTTTATTGTTCTGTAGGTTTGGCTTTATTTATTGCACTATTTGTTACAGGTTAAAAAAACACTACACAAGTTTGTAAATGTGATTTGGGTCACAAATAAAGAGCCTCAGTGTTACATTTGTTTGTGTATTTCTGTCTAAATGTTGTTTATGCTTCTGTCTCTGGATGCATCCATTCCTTATCGGATTACACTCAAAAGCACCTCAAGCGTTTATTCAGCAACGACTGAGAAAACACGCGACTTCTGCACAGAAGAATGAGATTTCTGCAACAAGCTGGATCTTCTCCAGATGATTTATTCTAAAGAAGCGTGCTGTCATGCACCACGTTAACTGTCCTGCTGCAGCCACCAGACCGCTATGGATGCTGAAGGAGACAATGCAGGATTCACTAACCAAAGTAAAAAGAGTGGAAATTAAAGGAAAATTCACAGCTAAGTTAAATTATGTGCACCATTTATAAATATTTACAATTTTACTTGTGATTAGTTTGCTGAACAGCTCTACTTGGGAGAAATAGCTTTTACTTCCCTGGGTCCAACGTGGATCTAAATCAGCTCTAATCTCAATTTCAAAGCAGCTCTTGCATTTATAAATGTTTTGTTGCCATACATTTTACATTACAGTCATTACTGATTAGTAAGGTTAAGTGCATCACTACCAACAGCAGCAGCATGTTTAGTGAGGTAGAAACGTCTTTCCATGGTTACAGCAAGAACAAAAGCAGCAACCAGTAGGACACGAACACCACAGAGACCCAGTTCAGACAGTTAAGATCTTCTGTGTTGAAGGTGTGTGGGATCGTTATGAGCAGGGTTGAGCCGGATGCTCGTTTCAGACGTGATTGATCCCTCGGTGCTTGCTTGACTCTAGCTCACGTTGCTTCAGAACTCCCAAGGGTTTCTTCAGCTCGCCTCTTTTTCAGTTAGTATAATATTTAAAGTTGCTTGTTTTGTAACGTACCCGGTGCATTTGACACGGCAGAGCTGATTCTGAGACTCTGAAGGTTGGTTTATGCTTGACGCGTCCGCGAGGTCCGCACGGCTCCGCGCGGCGAAATTGCGTCATTTAACAACCACGCCCCTCCACCGCGCCTCCACACGGCCCAAACTTTCCGCACCGCGCACCTAACCACGCGGACGGGCGGACACGGAAAAACATGGCGGACTGGCAAGAACTAGTATGGCAGAGGTTGGTAAATACAGACATTTGTATGATTCAGCTCTCAGAGATCACCGTGATCAACATGTTGTTAATAATTCTTGGAGAGAAATAGCTCGCACTGTCGGAAAAGACGAGGACGCTGTTAAAAATGCTGGAATGCCATGTTGTAAACAGTAATTTTTACTTCTATGGTGTAGTGTTGGATGCATGCCGTAGACTCCATGCTGCCCCCTACAGTTTGGGAGAATATTGGCTCACCGCAGAGACGAGCCGCACAAACCATAAACGCTGCGAGTTGTGAAGCGCGTTCCATCCGCGAGCCGCATCACCAAGCGGAAAGTAAATGCGTCAAGCATAAACCAAGCATTAGTCTATTCAAAACCTTTTTCTGTAATAGTTCCTTTACTATTGTGATCAAAAACATTGAATCTCAATTGTGTGGCTGCTCTATAAATAGTTTTCAAATAAACAATAAACTTCTGATCAATCCATATCAACTTCAGACTAAAAATAACGTACAGATTTAAGCCCCACCCACTCCCGGTTAAGCTAAGTAAATTTTATTTATACAGCACTCATCACAGACAATCACTAAGTGTTTCACATAAACCACACCCAATTCTGGTTAAGGCCCCGCCCACTCCAAGTACAGATACAGATAATTCAGAAAAGCTTTATTGTCAGTGCTCCAGCGTCCCGAAGCATAGAAATTTGACTCCGCAGCACAGCCTGACCGAGGTTACACACACACACACACACACGCACACACACACACACACACACACACACACACACACACACACATGTAGATAAAACAGATACAGGCAGACCACGAGAGCAGCCATGAACGGCGCTCATTTCGTTTAGATGAAAAGGGGATTACATGAGCATCAATTGGGGGAGGGAAAGAAGGCACACCAGAGTTACTCCCGACGGGGCGTAGCTTCGCTATGCAGAAAACCACCTCAAACATATGAGCACGAACATCAACAGTTCACAACATGAGACTCCAATAGGAAGGCGGGGAGGGGGGGGGGGGGGGGGGGGGGGCTGGTATCCTGTTTCCCCAGCGAGAGCAGCCATCTAAGGCACTGATCTACTCTACAGTCACAGGTGGGAGGGAGATCTTGGGAGAAGCGAAGAGCACATTGACTCCTCCAACTGATGACCTCGCCAGGCTGAAGTCCACCAATCCGGGGGGGGGGGGGGAATACAGCTCGACAGTCCAAGTGGGGAGGAAGAAACAGTTTCTGATCAAACACACAAGCTAGCAGCTAGTCACACTGGAGCAAGTTAAAATGTTTTAGAAAACGTCTCCGAAATACCAAATATACCAAATATACCAAATATACCAAATATACCAAATGATCTAAATTATATAATAATTTCCCGACTTCTCTCATCATTGACTAAGGCCCTTTCCACACATCTCCCAAAATGAAGACATTTTTTGACGATTTGGCCCATCATCTTCACAAAAACGCCAATTTATGCAACAAAAACAAACATTTTTATAAAATCCGGCAAAAGGGAACATTTGCGTTCTCTGCTTTAAACGTTTCTGTGTGGACAGAATAAAGTTTCAGGTTTCACGTCACGGTCTGGAACAAAAATGCTGACGTCACGTGTGCGACCTGCGTTTACTACAACATGGATGCCCTCAGAGCTGTGCTCGCGTTATTAAGCGTCCAAGCGCTTTTTGTCTTTGTTTCTAAAAGCAGCCGCTATGTCGAAGACCGCAGCAGCCATGTTTCATGTTTCGTTGAAGTTGAGCAGGAAGACGAAATGGATAGGATTCGGGGAATCTACTGCCACCTACAGGTCTGGCATGCCTATGAACACGCTTTACGATGCACTGAGACGGTTACGTGTGGATGGAGTGTGTTCTAAAAACGAGGTGATGTGGACGCTATGTTTTGGGAGGGTGGATATTCGTTACGTGTGGACACGGCCTAAATTAAACTCAAGCAGGCGAATTATCCATATTTTATTGTGCCTGATATTGAAATGATCAACACATGAGCTTCTTTACACACTAACACATTTCAGTAAAGTGGTGTGTGTGTGTGTGTGTGTGTGTGTGTGTGTGTGTGTGTGTGTGTGTGTGCGTGTGCGTGTGCGTGTGTGTGTGCGTGTGCGTGTGCGTGTGTGTGTGTGTGTGTGTGTGTGTGTGTGTGTGTGTGTGTGTTGCTTTATTGTTCTGTGCCGCTCCTGCAAAACACCAATAAACCTAATGGTTATTACACAATAATACATAAATTATGTATTAACACTCGAGTACGAGTGTCTGACTCACTCTCCCAGTCACACCAGCTTCCGGTTCCCTTTATACTACAAGCTTGACTCTGTGTGCGTTTCATCACTGGTGCAGGAAAAGGAGAGGCAAGGCGGGCATGTTACACACACGGGTGATGCAAATCCTGGTAAACATTTACTTGCACTGTGTGTGTGTGTGTGTGTGTGTGTGTGTGTGTGTGTGTGTGTGTGTGTCTCTATATCATCACTGAAACATGCCAAAAGCCATTCCTGAGCACTTGTGCACTCATCCGTGCCACAGAACAAGGTGTTGCGGGTGGGTGCGGTGAGCTTGGTAGTTTGAGCAGCACCGAGGTGGGCCCGGCAGCCTTTGTGGGTGACCATGGAAACAGGGTAAACACACCAGGATGTGGCTGGCCGGTGATAACTCCAGAGGAGCTGAAATAATAAAAGATATGCTGGAATTTCATGGGTGCGGTGAAATTTTCTTCCTTAGCATTCATAAAGAGCCGGCTGTTGCCAGAAAAGAAATCCTTGTTTTTTTTATCTTTAATTTCCAACACAAACCTTTATTTTCTAAAACGACGTTGGTTACCAGGATTTATTTTACGAGGAGCATGTATCTGTCCAGGCACGTGCAGAGGGGGGGGCGGAGGGTGCTTGAGACCCTGCCCCTTTTCTCCCATGTGCCCAAAGTGCCCTTTTTGAGGTTTAATGATTTTTATATATATATATATATATATATATATATTTTTTTTTTTTTAAGAATTTTCTGTTTGTGCCCCCTCAAGAATAACAAAAATAATAATTAATAAAAGTTCTGTTTAATAATGTGATATGGATGGCGTGAGTCACGTGACCATACCGTCACGTGACCATTCCGTCTCTTCCTCACGCCAGAGCGCACAGCCGGTCACAACAAGCTGCAAGCAAGCACCCACATTTCCTTCATGGCCGAGCGAGCGGTGCAGAGCTTTTAGGACATACATATTGATTGGGAGAAACGGACTAACACCGGTAAGTAGGATGCACACTACTATACACAGTTATTAGATTATTTTGTACATTATTAAGTTGTTTTGTGGCACTAGGTGTGTGATATATTGCTAGCTGGGTGTGTGTCTGGCTGGGTACCGATTCTGAACCTCAGTAACTTTAGGATTAACCAAAAACATTCTGTACATAAGTAATTGTACGAAAATATTTTTTCAATCTTAAATATTGGGAATTTGCCAATAAAATGTCATTGTTGTTAACTAGGTACCGCAAAGTTGCATTCCTAACGCTGCTGTGTGTCACGTGACTGGGGTCTCACACAGCCCTGCTTCTTGTTTACAAAATCACTTCCTGGTTCGCGGACTAATAAAACTTGAACAAATTTAAAATTTAGCTACCTTTTGTGAAAGGAAATAAGAAAAATACTAAAGGTAACATCCGTCACAAGTTTTGTGTTACTAAATATTCAGTCCTTGTCTGTTAATTCTGTCCAGCGTTTTAGGGAACGTAGTTTTGTTTTAGATTTGAAGGTTTCTCAGCCCTTCTGGTGGGTTTTTTAGTTCACTAATACTATACACATTCTCAAAATTTGGAGTTTATATTTGCTCTCTTTTTGAATGCATTGTATTAAAAACATGTTTTAAAGATGTACATTTAAAAAAAACTACTGTTTTCACAGCAAAATTATTGTATCTGTACA